TGAGTAAGTATAAACTTCTTTTTTATTTTTTTATTTTTGGATTATCTACATAATAATACAAGGGGATTTCATTGTGATAATTCCATACATGTGTACAATATACATTAACAAGTTCACCCCCTTCATTATATTCCCATTCTTCTTTCCTTTTCTACCCCCCCTTTTCAAGCAGAATTTGATGGGTTTCATTATGCTATCTTCTTATATGTCTGTGTACAGGAAGGAAATACCTATGTTAGGGTTTATATTCATGAAAAAGATCAAGGTATCTTTGGTCACAAGCCCAGTGTGACTATATGATGTAGTGGCCAAGAAAAGCTAGTAATCTTAGACTGCATTAAAAGAACCATGGAGCTCACAACATCAATAACCGGAATTCATTCAGCCTATGTCTGGTATTTGGGTTTGAATGACACATTTTAAAAGAACCTTTGACAAATAAAAGTTTGTTAAGAAAACAATAGAAGAGCCACCACGGGTGGCTCACACCTGTAATCCTAGCTACTCAGGAGGCAGAGATCTGGAGGATCATGTTTCGAAGCCAGCCTAGGCAAATAGTTTGGAGACCGTATCTTGAAAAAAAAAAAAAAAACCACCAACACAAAAACGGGTTGGTGGAGTAGCTCAAGTAGTAGAGCACCTGCCTAGCAAACATGAGGCCTTGAGTTCAAGCCCCAGTAGCACAAAAAAGAAAGAAAAAGAAAACAGTTGAAGAAACAGAGACTCGGACAATCTCATATAAGAAACAGTTAAATGTAGTAGGTATATTTAATCTAGAAGAAAAGAGTATAAGAGAAAACAAGATAGCCACTTTGGTAACCATTTGACTCATAATGTCAATTAGAATGTATTTTTGTGCTATCCTGAGGTTGCAAGGAAATAGCATTTGTTTATCCTAAGAACATGTTTTCCTTATTTTTTAAGTCTTTGGTAAGTGGAAAATAGCTTTATTTTTCTATCTTAAATATTAAAAAGTATCCATTGTAAAAATTTCAAAATAATATGTATAAAGAAGAAAATAATGATCCACCATGATCCTACTGCCCAGAGATAACTAGGCCTGGCTACCTAATTTGTGGAACCTGCTGCAAAATGGAAATGAAAGACTCCTTCAAAAGTAAGAATTTCAAGACTGACAACAGAACATTAAACCAAGCACAGGTCTCTATGCTTAAATCACAAACCCTAAAAGCTAGCTCTGACTATAACATTTGGATATATAAATCCTTCCATATTTTAGAAAGGACTTTCTAAATTCTCACCAATGCAATGGGCCACCTTGGGAGAAGTAAAGTGAAAGCTAGGCTTTTCGTCAGGAATGCTATAGAGGAGATAAATATGCTGGAGATTGGATTACATGACCTGTTGGGGTATTTTTCATCTCTGAAGTCGATGGTTCTCTGTCCAGCCAAAAAGAATTGGTTCATAAACAATAATCATTATCCACAAAAGTGCCTATTTTTAAAACCATAGAATCTTGCATTTTTGTTATCCTGCTATGACAGATAATAAAAAAATTTTACGTCAATTACGGTGGTGAATTTCCTTAGAAAGGTAAGTGTTACTGGTATGGCAGGATGCTATCTAACCCCTCCCCAATATACTTAACCTGGATCTAGAACATTGACTGATACCTCAGTTATACTCATTCAAAGGGTAATTTGAATGTCTTGATATTTTAAATTTTCTTGTTCTGTCATGCTGCTGACAGTATCTACTCTCTTCTTGATTTAGTATAAGCTATAGGATTTCTTATGTGTGGGCTAATTAATGACCTTGAAAGTTCAGATGATAAACCTCTGTGTATAAGGAAAAGCAATCCAAAGTTGTCTGCTTATTTTCTTGTACTTTTAGAACCGAGACATTGGCACATATTAATTCCTGAATGAGTTGCAGGGACCTGATGATGATTGCAGCTTAATGAGCTGGAAGAGTTCCCCAAGTGACTGGAAATGTATTCTAGTGCTAGCTTCCAAATTATTTGTTGCATAGTTTTATATTAACTGCCTAATTTCATACACTTAGAAAAGCTGAACAATTTCTTTTTTACATAGTGTAAAATAGTTAAAATTTTGTGAATGTTTCTGCTGTAAAAAAAAGTGACCTTTCTTGTCAGTGTTTTTGATCCCTGTGTCCCCAGCCTCAAAACCTATCAGAGAACTAATTGTTATGTCACTCAAGAATGGTTCTGTAGCCTCGCCTTTCCTGTCCTGTCTCCTCACACATCCACACTATCACTGCTATCTTTGGGCTGTGCCAATCTTGACCGCTTTGTTCTTTCTCCCATTCATTTACACAACTTCTTACAGTGTATGTAAACAAATAAATAATTTGAGATGGTTTTGTTAAAAACCTAGTAAAATAAATAAATGGCTTTCCTTGCAAATTTGAAATTTCCTTTTTTTTGAAACCTCCTTTAACTTTAAGTTCTTGGAAAATAAGTGTTGTCAAGGGTTGGTGGAATGACTCAAGTGTTAGAGTGTCTGCATAATAAGCATGATCATGGCCCTGAGTTCAACCTCCAAGACCACCAAAAAAATGTCAAATAAATCTAATGGCTAAAACTGCTGTCAATAAATACTTTCATTTGAAGGTATAATCCCCTCTTTTGACAACTGTGTCAAGTTATATACACATACACACACATTTATACAACTTGATTGTATTTGTCAACCTACAGGTAATTCCTCTTTTTATTGCCTTTTGCTACTACTCTTTTTACTTTTCAATGTTTTTATTCTCCTGCTTTCAAAATGAGATTATTCACCTTCCCTCATTTTTTGAGTAATTTTAGTTACACTGCTCTTAGGACACTATCAGTATATGTTTACTTCCTACTTTTCCTTATCATTGGCCAAATCTCTGATTTCTCATAGTCACTAAATGCTGAAAGTACTAAAATTATTTTTTCTTTTATCCCCCAATCCTCCAATAATTCCCTCATTATTAGTAGAAGTGTAATTTCCTTTGCCCCTCCTTTTCATTTCCATTCTTTCTTCCTCAGTGCCTCCTTTTCTATAATATTTGTCTAGGTTTTCTGCTTTTTATTTTTTTTTTCCCATTATGAACCCGGGGCCTCAAACATTCTAGGTAAGTGCTTTTACCACTTGAGTCATTCCCTAAGCCCCCTTTTTTGTTATTTTGTTTTTGACATTGGGTCTTGCTATCTTTGCCAGGCTGGCCTCAAAATTGTAGTCCTCCTGGTTGCTGGGATTATAGACATGTACCACCACACTGGCTTTGATTTATATTTCTTAAATGAAACCTTCAATCCATACCCTATCTGCATGTGTGTGTGGTGCTGGGTATTGAACTCAGGGCCTTCTGAATGCTAGGTGAGCACTCTACCACTGAGTTACATCCTTAGCCCATATTCTAACTTTATATCATAGTAAACAATTTCTTTCCTCTATAATTTCCATGTTACCATTGCCAAAGTCTTCTTTCTTGATATTTTGTCCCTGCTATCAAAACTTTTTCTCAAATTGCTAATTGGCATTATGCTGCCTTTGTGACCCCTATTTTTACATTTAATCTATTCCTGCATCCACTCTCCCACCTTTTTTCAGCTGAGTCAAATTTCCCTTTGTCTTCTGCTCTTCTAATTTATTTCTCTCTGTGTTTGTAATTTCCTCCCTCACATCTGCCAACCTACTTATATTCTCATTCAAAGTTTACTTAAATCATAACTCTTTTGAAGTGAGTAAAGATGGGAAAAGAGCCAAACAGCTCCTTTGTAATTGATTTTAATTTTTCTCAAAAACCTGTATTTTAAATTAAAGAGAAATGCTTGTAGAGCAAAACCAACACTCAACTATTCAAAGCTTCTGAAAAAGGAAAGTAGATTTTAGTCCAGCCATTCCATTGATATTGTCAGGTCAACAGACTATGCCCATTTTATACCCAGCATATGTTGAAAGTTAAGAATACAAACCCAGAGATACAAAACATGGTTATTGTCCTTAGAGACCTAATAATGTAGATGAGACACAAATATTACACATGAAACACTTAGAAAGTGGTTTTAATACGAGTCTAATAAGCAAATACTAGGTTGTATGGTGTAGAACTTAAGTGTTATAAGTATTCAGAGAAAAGGGAAAGCATTATTGCTTGAGGTTGCCATGAAAGATTTCATATGGGAAGTGGGTCTTGAAAGACAATATAAAATTTGGATTAGCTGGACTGGGCTAGAAGACTGTTTGTATTTCTCAGTAAAAAGATAATTGCTTAGCAAGAACCCAAAGGAGAAATTAGCTGGTTGTTTAAGAAAACAGCAAACTTTGTTCTAGGAAGTAGTAAAAAAATATAATCAGATAATTAAAGTGAAGCTAACTGAGCAAGAGCTTCAAATTCCAAATTGTGGAATTAAGAGTTGTTGAGAAGAAAACCCCTTTAGTAAAGCATTCTTATTAATGAAGGTTTTATCTTATTTAAATATTTATTTTCTTATATAATGATGGAATTAACTAATATCGAGTGTTTTACTGTTCAGCATTATTCTAAGAGATTTATATGTAATAACTCATTTAACCTTTGCAACAACCTTTTGTAATTGGTTCTGTTTTAAACTTGTTTTACAAATGAGGATGCAGAAATGGTAAGTACTTTAACTTGTTCAAATTGACACAAGTGACAGAGAGCCACGATTGAGACCCAAGTAGTCTCTGGTATCAGATTCTATATTTTTATCTATTATACACATAACCTTATTCTAGAGCTTTGTAAGTACTGAAGATACATTGTGAGATTTAGACAATTCAACCTGGGTTACTCTTTTACTGAAAGACTATTTTCCCAAATATTACTCATAATAGGCACATGGTAAACTTTATATCATATATATTTTTTTCTTTAAGAAAAATCACTGTAAGGATTGTTTTGGCTGGAATTCATATGGGAATTTTTTAAATAAATTCATTAGTTTGTCATACGAAGTGGTACTGATTTTATTTATCTCTTGTAAAATCCTTATTTCAGCAATCTTTCTATTACAACAGGGCTTCTGGTTGGGACTCTTGATTCAGTCTTAGACTCTACTGCTAAAGTAGCTCCATTTCGCATCCTACACCAGACACCAGATTCTCAAGTTTACTTGTCAATTGCATGTGGTGAGTATAATTTTTAGAACATATAGTCCAAATAAAGTAAAGCTACTAAGAAATTGAATATTCAGATATATTTCTACTTCCCAGTTGTTTTAAGACTTATAAGTAAGTTAAATGTGCAACTGTACTTTGAGAGTATAACAAGACCTCTGTTTATTTAAGAACAATTACATATTATTGGGAATTTAAAAAGCCATTGGTGTGAGAGACTTGGAGCATGTGGTCCAGTGGTGCTGATTCTGAGCAGATTTTGGTCAGTGCTACTGCTGCATGACTTCTGTCTTCAACTTACTCCTGCTTCACCCAACTGCTAGCATATTGGGAATATCCCCATGAAATACATTGTTTCATTTGTAATAACTAGAAGGAGAATCTAAAATTAACTGTGAGCCCAAAACTTAAAGGTTATTCCCTAAAGAAGTATTAATCCTGGAAAACTGAAATCTTTTATTCATGCACCTGCTTTCTCACAAAAGTTATTGTATCCCTTACAGGTAATGCTACATATTCATTGCTACAGGGTTTCTAACCTCCTTCATAAAATTTCTGTAAGTTTGCTTAGGTCATTTTATTTTATTTTTTTAAATTATTCATTTATTCACATGTGCATACATTGTTTGGGTCATTTCTCCACCCTGCCCTTCTCCCTCACCCTCTCTTCCCCTCCCCCCTCACTTCCAGGCAGAACCTGTTCTGCCCTTATCTCTAATTTTGTTGAAGAGAAGACATAAGCATAATAAGGAAGACAAAGCATTTTTGCTAGTTGAGTTAAGGATAGCTGTACAGAGAGATTCCTAGAATTGCTTCTACGTACAAATGTGTTACAACCCAAGTTGATTCATCTCTAACTGATATTTACACTGGTTCCTGATCCCCTGCTCATGTTAACCTCTGTCGCTTTAAGGTTTCTGTATTAGTTCCTCTGGAGTGAGGACATCAAATGTTTTCATGTTTTGGGTTTTCTACCTATTCCTATATATCCCATATGTGCTTTTCCCTTGTCATATGATCCAAATCCAACCACGTTGCTGCATTTGCCCTAGATCTAAAGTCCGCATATGAGGGCGAACATACGACTTTTGGTCTTCTGAGCCTGGCTAACCTTGCTCAGAATGATGTTCCATCCATTTACTTGCAAACGATAAGATTTCATTCTTCATTGCTGAGTAAAATTCCATTGTGTACAAGTACCACATTTCTTAACCCATTTGTCAGTAGTGAGGCATCTTGGCTGTTTCCATAACTTGGCTATTGTGAATAGCGCTGCAATAAACATGGATGTGCAGGTGCCTCTGGAGTAACCTGTGTCACATTCCTTTGGGTATATCCCCAGGAGTGGGATTGCTGGATCATATAGCAGATCTATATTTAGATTTTTAAGAAGCCTCCAAATTTTTTTCCAGAGTGGTTGCACTAGCTTGCATTCCCACCAGCAGTGTACAAGGGTTCCTTTTCCCCACATCCTTGCCAACGCCTGTTGGTGGTGTTCTTGATGATGGCTATTCTAACAGGTGAAGTGGAATCTTAGTGTGGTTTTGATTTGCATTTCCTTTATGGCTAGAGATGGTGAGCATTTTTTCATGTGTTTTTTGCCACTTGAATTTCTTCTTTTGAGAAAGTTCTGTTTAGTTCAGTTGCCCATTTCTTAATTGGTTCATTGATTTTAGGAGAGTTTAGTTTCTTAAGTTCCCTGTATATTCTGGTTATCAGTCCCTTGTCTGATGTGTAGCTGGCAAATATTTTCTCCCACTCTGTGGGTGGTCTCTTCAGTTTAGTGACCATTTCTTTTGTTGTGCAACAGCTTTTTAATTTTATGAAGTCCCATTTGACCATCCTTTCTCTTAGTTGCTGGGCTGCTGGGGTTCTATTTTAACAATGACAGTTTGTTGCTTTTTTCTGCAATGCCATTGTAATGTTGGTTCAAGTTAGAATTCCAGATTTCTGGCCAAAATGTCAAATGGCTGTCTTTTTCTCTTTCTCTTTTCTCCGAAGTAGATATGCTTTTAAAAAGAAGAAAAACACATGGATATCTAGATATTTCATTGTGTAGCCATACAACATATTTTCTTGGGTGTGTTGCCTTTTTTGTATTTCCCTCTAAATTTCCTTTAGTGTCGCTGGTGAGTATTTTCTCTTGGCTCTTTTAAATTGAATGCCACTTAAGCTATATGAAGATGACATTATTAGCATTCTGAAACCTCAACTCTAAATATGGTTGATCAAAATTATTTAGAAAAATAGTGCTTTTTACTTTAAAAATAATGATTATGTAACATTCTCCCAAATGAAGCGGATACAGAAATGTAGTAGGTACCTGCAAATGAGCTTCCTTATACCTAAAGGATCAAAATAAAAGTATTAAAATTTCCTAATGGCTTTCATTTGTGATAAATTAAAGAAAGCTATTGCTTTTGGTATGGTGAAGTTAGCAACATGAATAAAATTCTAACAGAATTATAATAAGTAGGCAATTTTGCAATGTTAATAAAATTTTAATTTGTCTTCACATATCATAAAACATTCTAAAAAGTCAGGCTGGTAAAATGGCTCAAGCAGTAGAGTGCCTGCTTAGCAAGCATGAGTCCCTGAGTTCAATCCCCAGCACCACAAAAAAATACACATTCTAAAAATTCAGCATATTTCTTTTCAGTGAGATTTATATAATCCACAATTCTGGGAAGACCTTGAAGATCTTAAAGGCATGTGAGGAGCCAGCATGGTGGTGCATGCCTAATCCCAGTACTCAGTTGGTGGAGGCAGTAGGATCATAAGTTCAAGACCAGTCCAGGCAAAGTTATTGAGACCCATCTCAAAAACAAAAATAAAAACTAAAGGGCTGAGAGTAGGGCTCAAGTAGTAGAGTGCTTGCCTAGCAAGTGAGAGGCCCTAAATTCAATCCATAGTACTGCCCCCACATAAAAGGTATATGGGGTAGGGGATATTTATAGATAATGAAATGTTCTTTAAGCCGAAGCAACATAGAACTACTAATATTTAACCCAACCCTCAATAAGATTTACCTAACACTGATTCAGTATGTCACATGGGCTTAACCTTGCTACAGTATTTCTGACCTCCTTCATAAATTCTCTGGCAGTTTGCTGGGTCTTTTAACAAATGGGATGATGGTAAACAAAGCTTTCATACATCAAATGGCCACAGTTGAAATCTGCTTTTACACAGCAGGCATATGAGTGTCACTTGCATGGTGTTTTCTGCCACACAAGTATTAGACACAATATTAGTTGTATTTTTTGAAGACCTAGTATTGAAATATGTATCTGTACTTTTTGGAATTCTACATATTCTCTTAAAGATAATGGTTACTCTCTGAGCACCAGTCATCTTGTTTTCAGAAGTTTATCTTTTTTTACAAGCTATACTACTTTTCCCTTGCATTCAATAATTTTTTTTCTTTCTATTTATAATAAGAACTACTGTTAGTGCCCACATATAGGGATGAATTAGGGAATACATGTCATACCTTTATTCCTTTATAACCATCATTTCTGAAAGTGAGTAAATATTTTATTTCTTTTTAAACTAAGCCTATAATACCAAGAACAGTTTTGTTGTGGAGTTTTTCTTGACATTTCTGCTGTTTTATGTTATTAATCAGGAGCCAACAGAGAAGAAATAACCAAGCATTGGGAATGGTTGGAGCAAAATATCATGAAGACCTTATCTGTGTTTGATTCAAATGAAGATATTACTAATTTTGTACAAGGAAAGATAAGGGTAAGTGACATGAACATATTTTATAAATGGAATACTAATGTCTCTGGCTCTCTTCTACAAGTATCAAAGGTTGCATGGCAGGTCATTCTTTTACTGGCACCTTTCAGAATTGGTAAGAACACACATATGAATGCTAGAATTAGTTCTTAAGAAAATTGTAAAGCCAGTGCTTTGTCTTTGGTGCCCCTGTGAGTGTCTCATGGTAATATTTTCATTTCATTATCTCTTCAGTTTGGAGTCTGAATAAACCCTTTGTTCATTCAAAAGAAAATATGTAAAACTTGTATTTGTGGTAACTCCTTATAAGGCATTAGAAAAAAACCTAGTATAAAGCCAAAGAAAATTTTCTTACCTCTATCCTAAGAGAAGTATGTATATGCACACATATATACATATAACATGTTTACCCGCATAGATATATACATTTGTATTCAATTAACTATTTAAAATTAAACCCATGTAATATGTTTTTGTTGGTATGTGATGATGAATTTTCAAAAAATATTTTGTCTCCTCTAGGGATTAATTGCTGAAGAGGGAAAACAGTCTTTTGCAAAAGAAGATGATCCTGAGAAATTTCGAGAAGCTCTTTTGAAATTTGAAAAATCTTTTGGTTTGCCAGAGCAGGAGAAATTAGTGACCTATTATTCATGCAGTTATTGGAAAGGACGGGTTCCTTGTCAGGGTTGGCTATATCTTAGTACCAACTTTCTGAGCTTCTATTCTTTTTTGTTGGGATCAGAAAGTAAGTGGTTTCTATTGCTTACCATGGCTTTGAATTTGCTGACTGACCTATCAATTCTGCAGTGGTGTTAGGTTGTACATAAGTAATGGGATTGATATTAAATGTAATTAAACTACATCTACATTGAAAATTCCATTTTATCTATAGAAAGAATCCTTTTAAGACTGGTTACTTAACACAGGAAACCATTAAAAATGTGTATAGAAAGCATTGCATATTATGGAAAGTAAATGACTATTAAATGGTGATCTAGCATATAACTACTTTCTTTTCTTGTTACAAATTTGCTGTATCCAGTTATGGTGGTACATTCCTATAATCCCAGCTACTCAGGAGATGGAGGCAGGAGCATCTCAATATCAAGGGCAGCCCAGGCAAAGTTAGCAAAACCCTATCTCAAAAACAAAATACAAAGAAAAGGGTGCATAGTGCAAGAGGTAGAATGCTTGCCTAGCATGCCCGAGGCCCTCAGTTCAGTCCCCATTGTTGAAGATAAACTATTTACTTCCTTCAATTCATATTTTAATTCTTGTTTTGAACATACAATATAAATCTACTAGCCTAATGACCCACATAGAAGAATCAAACAGTATATTCATAGCATACACACACACACACACACATATTATTTCTTACATCAGTAGTTATGTAATTACGTAGTTGATAAGCAAACAAATTTGCACATCATCTTGGAATCATTTTGGCAGTAACGGGTTTGAAATCAGGGTCTCGTCTGTAACTATACCATCCTGAATGCAACCGATCTCGGCTGAAATCAAGGTCTTATGTTTCCTAGGCAGACACTAACACTTGAGCCACTCCATCAGCTGTTGGGTTTTTTGTTTTGGTTTGGTTTTTTTTTTTTTGTTTTTGAAATAGGGTCTTGCTTTATTCCTGGGCCAGCATGGACTTCAGTCCTCCCATTTGTGCTTCCCCATATAGCTGAGATGACAGGCGCATGCCACCAAGCCCAGCCATTGATAAAGATGGGGTCTTGTGAACATTTTGCCTGGACTGGCCTTGAACTGTAGTCCTCCCAAGTAACTGAATTACAGGCTTGAGCCACAGTGCCTGGTTGTTCATTTTTTAATTTTTTACAATTATATCTGTTCCTAGGATCTCTGATTATTGTATATTCATAGTAATGCTTCAAATTTTTAACCTAAAGTATTTTGACTGTTTATAACATTTTGCAAGTGGTTATTATTTCAAAAGATCTGATTTGTGCATATAAATCAGTGTTGAGAATTTAATCATGCTTACTTACAACTCTTATTTGCAGTAAAACTCATTATCTCCTGGGATGCAATTTCAAAACTTGAAAAGACTTCAAATGTCATACTGACAGAGAGTATTCATGTATGTTCCCAAGGGGAGGATCACTACTTTTCAATGTTTTTGCACATTAACGAAACATACCTTCTTATGGAACAACTCGCAAACTATGCTATAAAGAGACTTTTTGATAAGGAAACATTTGATAATGACCCAATCCTTAATGATCCTCTACAAATTACCAAAAGGTATTCAAAAACTTAATATTTACTTCTTAAAGTGTTGTTGTAATGTAAGAACAAAGCATTAATTAGCACTAAAAGTTAACTATTCTCTGTTATATGATAGCTTTTCTTTGGAGTTGATCATAGACATGTGTTTTTTGTTTGTTTTTTATCTATTTTTTATTATATTGTACTGGGGGTACATTGTGACATTTACAAAAGTTCTTACAATATATCATAGTTGAATTCACATCCTCCATCATTCTCTTTCATCCGCCCCATTACTGGAATGGTTTCAACAGGTCTCATTTTTCCATTTTCATACATGAGTACATAATATTTCCACTACATTCACCCTCCTACATCCTTCCCTTATACCCTTGCCCCAGACAGCCCCCAGACAGGACCTTTTCTACCTTCCTGTCCTCCGTTTTTTAAAAAGACATTTTTATTTGTTTAAGATATACAGGGAGTTTCATAGATGTGTGTTTTGTAAGTTTATCACAAATTGTTTCCTTTCTCCATGAAATTTAATCCTAATAAATAATAGAAGTTAGATTGGAAAATTATTTTTTGAGATTTAAATATGATTTGCCCTGGAGTGTCTTTAGAAATGTCAAGATTGTGTGTGTGTATGTTTAGTCTAATTTAACTTTATGAGTAGTCTAGGTAATTTCATGTATGGGGTTGTTAAACATAGTTTGTTTAAAAAAATAATTTGCAAAGCATATTTTTTAAATAAAGAGACAAGTTAATGGAGCTAAGGAGCATGGGCTTTAGTATGAGAATATAGAAATCCTTAGGCAAGTCATAATCTCTCAGGACCTCAGTTTTCTCATCTGTCATTTCTACCTCAGCAGGCACTTAGAAGGAATGAGTAAAACAGGTGAAAACACTTTGTAAAATGTAAAACACTACGTAAGTACTAATCATTGTTAGTGCTTACATCAGAAGTATCTGACTAGCCAGATGTAATGGTACACAGCTGCAATCCCAGCACTCAAGAGACCAAGGCAGGAGGAGCCCAAGTTCAAGGCCAGCCCGGAATACATAGTCTCATAGGTTCACCCTTTCTCAGAAAAAAAAAAAAAGTATCTGTCTGATAGCTGTTTGCCATTGTATTCAGTTTTGCTGAAACTGACCAGCCCTTTCATCCTGCTCAACACCCAATTGACTGAAAATTACTTGCCAAAGGAGAGGAGGAAATAAGGGGATTCAGAAATAGTAGAAGCAGCTTTTGGCAAGGAAGATGAGGATCTAGAATGTATGGGAAAACGTAAGAGGAACGTAAGCCAGAGTCCTAGGAATAGACCAGAACAGATGACCTGGAGAGTTATGTGATTATTGTATGGCCCTAATTGGGTACAGTTGTTTCTCTTGCCTAATTCTAAACCATTCCTAAAATCCAGATGCATAAGGATTCTTTGTAAGCCTGCCTGCCTTTCTGGAAATTAAATTAATGAAGTGAATTTTTTACACTTTATTATTAAAATTAGATCTCGGTGTATGTGATTTAGAAATATAACTGTAGGATTTAAGAGTTCAGTTCATGTTATGTTAGAGTTGGATATTGATTGACATCCATAAGCAATCTTTTTAGCCATTTTATTTCCCTTCAAGTATATTCTAAAAGGTCATCTATGAATGAGTTACTTATTAACCAAATCTATTTTAAGTGAGATATAGTAAAAAATCCATTTTGTCTGTGTATTTCTAAGAGAACCTATTGAAAATCATGTATGTCTAAATCCTTTTTTGTAGTAAGTTAAAAAGAACAAATAACTTGTTGGGACATACTCCAAAGCACTTTTTTTCTAAAATGCAATGCCTTTATTGTTTTTGCTTATTGTTTTTATGAATATGTATTACTTATGTAATTTAAGCAATACAGAACTATCATAGCCTTAGTTTAATGTGTATTCATCCAGGTTTTTAAATACATGAATTAAAAATACTTGCAAAGCAACTGAATGGCACTGAATATAAATAGTTTTCCTCTCACAATAATATGTAATAGACATCTTTCCATTCACATAAACGGACCAGGATCATCATTTTAAATAATAGTGAAATAACCCACCAAATTTTAACTTAAGTGAGGTAAAAATTAACATGGATTTCTGGTCATATTTATCAGGATTATTTTGAAAGACATGATAATGTACCACATACCCAAATAGTATAAGCAGGAAGGATGAATTTAGTTTTAACTTGGTTGGATTTGAGTTAGAAGTTGCATAATTTACTTACTATGCCAGATGGCATTGCTGCTTAGTACAATGTTTAGTGCCCCTAGAAAAATTGTGCTATTTAAAGCAACTGCTTTTTATTTATGTGTCAGTTAACAAGTCTTGTCTGTTTATTGAATCCTATCCTATGCCCAATATCGTGCAAATAGTGTTCTTTTAGCATGTCTCTACTTTGGATGTTATTAAACATTCATTTAATTTTTTGCTTAACTCAATTTTAATATTATTTTTTAGTAGACTGTTCTTTCTAAACTTTGATGCCATACATTGTCATTATTTTATTTTGTTTGAACTGGGTAACTCTCTTGATCTTCCTGATAACCAAATATGTAAATTCTTGTCTTCCAAGAGTGGTTTTAGCCATAGTCACATATTATGATTATATAATCATAGTCTTCCAGCAAATCACCCCTTAACAGATGGTTTAAAGACCTACAGCATCTCTGCCTTTTGGGAATTTTAATCTAATAAAATGAAACTGAAAAAACAACAGACAAATTGAGTTTGTTGGGAATCTGTATGAGGTTTTTTCCATATCAGAATTCATTGAAGAATATAACATTTAGTATTTAATCTGTTGGCTTTACAGTGTATTTAGATTCATTGATGTAGGCAAGTGTGCACTTTAGAATTCATCATTTGAGCCCCACTCCTTTTTTTTTTTTTCTTTCCTGCAGAGGTTTGGAAAATCGAGCCCACAGTGAGCAATTTAATGCCTTTTTTAGGCTGCCCAAAGAAGAAACTTTGAAAGAAGTACATGAATGTTTCTTATGGGTACCATTCAGCCACTTCAATACTCATGGGAAAATGTGCATTTCAGAAAACTATATCTGCTTTGCTAGCCAGGATGGCAATCTATGTAGTGTTATCATTCCATTACGAGAGGTAATGTAAGTTTGGTCACATATCAGTTTTTAGTTTGTCCTTTAATTCTATAAAGTAGTAAAAGATTAATATGAAGTATCCTTTCAGTATTTAAAATAATAGTTTTCAAGTTCAGAATTATTCTCCAGGATAATAATAATGACTTTTGAGATATTTAGTAAAAGCTTTCAGTCCTTACTGAAAGTAAAAATTGAAAAAAAATTAAAAACCAGGTAAAGGTTTAGGATGATACAAAATTGGCTTTATCATTCAGACATTTAAGGCATGACTACCAAAATTTATAGAATATCACATTTGATATTCTTGGTCAGAAAGAATAAAATTGATAGCTCTTGTATAAGTTAGAAATAAAGTAGTCACTGAATACTTTGCATTTGAATTGTCAATTTTAAAGGCCACATATTAAATTTTTCCTTCAAAAGTGAAATAACATGCACTGTGGTTGCTTGTATCATAGGTACTAGTGTCCAAAGTCTGTTTTTTAATAAGTCATACCACAGACAGAAACTTTTAGCCACAAAAGAATTAGCCAATCACATTGTCCCTGAAAATGTCACCAGTAAAGAAAAATGTGATTCACTTGTATATCTTTCCAACCCCCAGGTCTTAGCTGTAGATAAGACAGATGATTCCAGCAAATCTGTCATTATTAGCATCAAAGGAAAAGCAGCATTTCGCTTCAGTGAAGTTAAAGACTTTGAGCAACTAGTGGCAAAGCTCAAGCTCAAGTGTGGGGCAGTTAACACTCAGTGTGATATCAGCACAGAGGTAATTATATAGCAATTAAATCATTTTGAAAAAAGCTTTATGTTTAAATGGTCTATTCTTACAAAAAGGCATTCATAGTACCTTTCCTATTCATAATTATGTTTGTTTTTTAAAAGATTGAATCTAAAGAAATTATATTTTCTAAATCAGCAAAGTGAGAATTAAGGACTGTTGTTTTTGGATAAAAGTGAGAATTAGAATTAGGACTTTATCCTTTTTAGAAAGTCATACTTGAAATGTTATAATGTGATCTTTCTAATATATTAGCTGTTTTCATATAAACAGACCATGTACATTCACCTAACTTGGCTTTTAATGACTTCAGCTGTATTTGAGAATTCAACAAGGCATTGAAAATGACTTTCTTTTTGCTGCAGAAAGATAGCAATTTTAAATCAAACTGAGTGTCTTATTTAACATCTAGTCAGTCAGCCTTATTTGCATAATCTGGCCCCAAGCACACTAATAGCATATATCCATTTACTAGCAAAATACTAGTAAATATTCTTGGCAAGGAGTGGTTAAGAGCCTGATTCTGGGGCTGGCAGAGTGGTTCATGTGGTGAGACACCTACCTAGCAAGCACAAGGACCTGAATTCAAAATCCCAGTGTATCTTTCATAGAAATGTATACAGATTGAATTCAAATGAATTTTCTAGTTCAGTGTCCAGGAACTCCATGTTTTGATAAAGTGATAAAACTTGCCAAATTATAACTATATTTTACTGAAAGACTCAAAGAAAAATCAACATTGGCTCTGCTGGTTATTTTATTTGGATTGAAGTATAGAGCCTTTTACCTCTCTCCAGAGTAAAGACTAAAAGTAATATGTTAATTCAGTTGTAACACTTTCCCTTTAATAAATCACAATGGAAGTATGTAATGTATGTAGTGTATACGTGTAATACATATAATACAATGTAATATATGTGACATACACATAGAATAGTACCTCCAAGAGTTTTTCTTAGTGGGTCACAGGTGGCTCACACCTGTAATCCTAGCTACTCAGGAGACAGATCAGGAGGATCACATTTCGAAGCCAGCTGGGACAAATAGTTCTCAAGACCCTATCTTGGAAAAAAACATCACAAAAAAGGGCTGGTGGAGAGGCTCAAGGTGAAGGAACCTGAGTTCAAACTCAGTACTGAAAAAAAAAAAGGTTTCTTGCCCCAACTTTATCATTCTTTTTTAGTATGTATTCAGAATTTTCCTCAGTTTGATGTAAGAACACAAGTTAAAATCTGATCAGTCTTGGTAATTTCTTTCCCAGTGTTCCCATATTCTTACTTATATCAAATTTGTCCTTGTCCTATTCCATTTATGATTCAATTTGTGTGTTAGACCCAATATTCTGCTTATCTTTCCTTTTCTTTTGATTTATCTGCTTCTACAATATCTAGAGAACTGTAATTTTCCATGAAAACCATCATGTGCCTCTAGTAGCTGAGTATGCCCAGTTATAAAGAATGGATTTTGTTTCAAAATGAGTTTACCATCTCCCCAGATATGTCAGAATTCTAAGGTTTTGTAGTTTTTCCTACTCATTTTAGAGGTTTTAATAAAGATGAATGAAATACTAGTCATAATACTGGTTTGCTTGGAAATCTATTTTTTTACATTTTATTTTATTGTGCTGGGTAGGGGTACATTGTGGCCTTTGCAAATGTTCTTACAATATATCAAATATATCATATTTGAATTCAACCCCTCCATCATTCTCCTTTATGTCCCCCCTCCCCCTATTCCTGGAATAATTTAACAGGTATCATTTTTTCTATTTACATACATGTGGGGCTGGAGGAGTGGCTCAGAGATAAGAGTACCTGCCTATTTAGATACATGTGTACACTGTATTTGCACTATATTCACCCTCCCATGCCCTTTCCCCACCTCCCCCCTCCCCTGCCAGGCAGGACCTGTTTTGCCTTCCTGTTCTCCAGTTTTGCAAAAGAAAGCAAATGACATTTTTGCTTGTTTAAGATAGCTACACAGGGAGTTTCCTTGTAGCACTTCCATGTATATATGTATTATAGCCCAACTTGATTCATTTCCTCTATTTTTCTTCTTTGTACTTTAGTCCCTTTCTTATGGTTGTTTCAACCTGTTTAAAAATTCTGTATACATTTTTGTATAGAGAGTACATCAACCATAGTCACCTTTCCTTTTTTTACACTCCCATCTCTTGGGTAACCTCCTCTTAGCATGTCCTGTTTTTCATAATATTGCTACGTTTGTATGAAGTCTATATTCCATATATGAGAGAAAACATGGCTTTTGGCCTTCTGAACCTGTCTAACTTCACTTATGATGACGTTTTCCAATTCCATTTACCTGCAAATGACAAAATTTTATTCTTCTTTGTGGCTGAATAGAATTCCATTGTATATAAACACCACATTTTCTTAATCCAGTTGACAGTACTGGGGCATCTTGGCTGTTTCCATAGCTTAGCTATTGTGAATAATGCTGCAATAAAAATGGGTGTGCAAATGCCTCTGTTGTAACCTGATTTACATTCCTTTGGGTATATCTCTCAGAGTGGAATTGCTGTATCATATGGCAATTCTATTTTTAGTTTTTTAAAGAACTTCCATACTGTTTTCCATAGTGGTTATACTTATTTACGTTCCTACCCGCAGTGTATGAAGGTTCCTTCTTCTCTACATCCTCACCAACATTTATTGTTGTTTGTGTTCTTGATGATAGCCATTCTAACAAGAGTGAGGTGGAATCTTAGTGTGGTTTTGATTTGCATTTCATTTATGGCCAGGGATGTTGATCCTTTCTTCATGTGTGTTTCAGCCATTTGGACTTCTTCCTTTGAGAAAGCTCTGTTCAGTTCTTTTGCCCAGGAAATGCATTTTTAATTGTCATATTTTCCCTGAAGATTATTATCTTAGCAATGGTGAAGAATATTGGCCCATTTAGTATTATTTATATTTATATATGTATATATGTGTGTGTGTGTGTATATATATATATATATATATATAAAGAGAGAGTGCTTTATTGATAATGTATTTTTAAAAGCTAGTGAAGAGAAAGCTTTTTAAAATAAGACTCAGGGCTCTGGATGTTCCACAGTGGTAGACTACTTGCCTATCCTGCACAAGACCCTGCATTCAAGAGCTAGTTCCTTTTGAGTTCTAAATAACATAATTTGTGGCCTACATTCTTTTATAGCTGTACCCTGCTTACTGAAACAATGAGAAAAGTACAAGACTTTTAATCTTAATCTCAGAGTCTATATCAACAAATCTAAATGTGAATACAGGAAGGACTTTAGGAAAATTTTCCTGTGAGTACATCAAACATGTGAGACAAAAAATAAATGCATAAGTACCAGTTCTGCCCAAGTTTTAAATGGCCATCAATTAAAATGTTGCACAGTTTAAAAAGTTATGCTAAAACCTGGGTATATAAATAGGTTTTGTAAAATTATGATTGACTGCTTAGAAAACACATTAATCTTTTACTTTCATTGAGACATATAATCAAGAAATATTACTAGATCATTTTTCAAAACTACTAAATGAAGAGAAAACAGGCCCTTTTAGCTTAGTTTTGTGTAAAGTGGCCGAAGAATCCAAAGTACTTTAAAGATCCTTACTTACCTAGGCACAGTAGCTCATGCCTGTAATCGTAGCTACTCAGGAGATAGAGACTTGGAGAATCCTGGATTGAGGACAGCCTGAACAAAAAGTTAGCAAGACCTCCATCTCAACCAATTTAAGCTGGGCTTGTTGGTGCACCATCCCAGCTATGTGGGAAGCGTAAATAGGAGGATCACAAACCAAGCAGACCCTGGGCATAAATGAGAGAAACCCCATTCAAAAAATAACTAAAGCAAATAGGTTTGGAGGTGTGGCCCAAGTGGTAGAGTGCAAGCATAGGCCCTGAGTACAAACCTCAATACCACCAAAAAAGATTCTTACTTGATGCTTTTAAACTGCATCATAGGAATTATGCAATGTTAAGAAAGGCAGAAATTGAGCTTATACCCTAAACTGTTTAAATAGATAAATATTTTCTACAGATATCAAAGCATATATAAGTCTATTTCATTTGTTCTTATAACCAGCATTATCTTTATCTTACTTTCTATGTTTTTTAATTAGAAATGAGTTCCAGTAATGCTCATTCTACTTGATAGAATTAAGTGTTGCCTGACTCTAGAATTGCAGATAAAAGCCAACAAAGATTTTAAGCTAAAAAAAAGTCATGAGTTTCTTATGCTACATAATGCAAATAGGAGTAGTAGCTTAACCCATATAACTGGTTTTTGTTTGCCTAAATAAAAATATGGGTAATGTAGTTCCTGTGATAGTAATGTAAATTAGATAGCTATTTTAGCTGTAAGGGAGTAGATTTATTTCTAAGTTAGGAAACTAGAATCTTTTTAGAAAATCAGCACCTTATTTTAAATTATGGACTATGAACAGGAATGTATTTATGACGCGCTTCTAATATTTGAGAGGAGTGTTTCTTTGTATTTTGTGTCTTAATTTTTTATTTTACAGGTCAACTCTAGCTCCTAATACATGGTGATGTATTATGCTAACTTTGTGAGATACTCTAAATGTTATTTTGTAGACAGGTTACACATAAAGAAATATCAATCTTTGCTTTGTCTTTCCTTCACTGTCAGAGCTCTGTGCTACTTCTAAAGTCAATGTCAGTTACCAAAAAACAAACAGGTTTAAGAATACTTGCCATATAAGCAATCTTTTTTGCTTTCTAGATTTGAATGGATTTTTCTCAGACATTTGATGTCTAATGAGTGCCACGTTTTTTCCAGTCATAATCATGAGCACCCAAAGAAATGGCTATATGGAATTGGTATGGCTATGAGGTGACAGAGACAGAGACAGAGCAAAAAAAAAGAAAGTTCAAACATACTCTTTTAAATAATTAAAATATTAACGTATTTTAGGCCACCTTTTTTTTTAGCTTTTCTGTATCTTTTTTTTATTGTTGTACTGGGGGCTACATTGTGA